TGCAGTACAGCATATTGGAACCAGCAAAGTATGGATTCAGCATAAAGCTGCACCCTGAACTCCCCATGTTACATTTTGAAATGTGAGGAGGGGGTGTCCAGTTATTCCACAGAGTTATTCCTTTGCCAGTGCTGGATATTATTTTATTTAAAATATTTTTATGCTTCCTTTCCACCCAAATAGAATCCCCAAGGTGGCTTAAATTGCTTAAGTATCCCTTAAACTGATAGTAGTAGTAGTTTACCTTTGTATTTGATTTGTATTCATATCCTCCCTCAAATAATTTGGGGATACTTGTTTTGTTTGATGTGTGGATATATAAAATGTTTTACGTATTACCACTTCATAACAGTAAGGTATTGAATCATTAGCATATAGGGTACAATAAAAAGCAGTGACTCCAGCTAGGGTCTCTTTTTGCCTCCCACAATGTTTATGCTGGGGATGACAGTACAAGCATGGACAAAAGCTATGTGAGATTGGGGCTGTAGTAAGGAGGGAAGTTGAAAGAGACTGAGTAGAAAATCTGGTTGGATCCACCCCACTATTAGTTAAGCATGTGGTGCTGTACTGGAAATCAGCTAGAGATAGCAGCAAAAGATTTAAAGCATTGCGCCTTACTGTACAATTTAAAGGTACAGCATAATGGGATAATGGTAATAGGAGAATGTATCTCTTATATAGAAGGTAGGAAACACAGTTTAACAAAATGGTAATTAATGTGAGCCATTATAGGAAAGTTGCCTCCTATATTTGTGAGTCCTGTATTTGAAAGTCCACATTGAAAGAGACCACAACCAGGCTGTTGAAGCCATAAAATATGAAGTTAAGAAATGACACTTATTTTTGTTGATAATTATGACTTCTAATTAAGAAATGTGAATCTCTTCTTCAGGAAAATCAATGTGAGTTTCTTTGCCTTTGCTTCAGGAGTTTTTGTACTTTGAGTCACACATTCAAATAAATTGATCAAGATAGGTAGCCATGTTAGTCTGTAGCAGTAGAAAAGAGTAAGAGTCCAGTAGCACCTTAAAGACTAACAAAATTTGTGGCAGGCATGAACTTTTGTGAGTCACTGCTCACTTCTTCAGATACAAATTTATATTTGTCCTTTTTTGATATTGATATTTGTCCTTCTTTGGTGGCCCAATTTCCTCCTACATTACCAACATGCATAATTGTAAGAATTCTTTTCATTTGATGCAGACTGGTGGTATTTCTTGGCAAGGGGTTGGACGAGGTAGCCTTGTGCAAGGATCACAAACCTTTCCCACTTTCCTTTCACTCCAACAATCCCTTCTGACCCCAGAGAAGCTGATTCCTAGGGTTGAGGAACCTGTCTGGGGTAACAGCCATATAGATTAGTGGGCTTCACTGAGAAGGGGAACAGATTAAAACACTTCCCTATTTCAGCAGCAGGCTACGCTGATAGTTACCATGACCCTGGATATTAATTTCTTGGGGTTGGAAGGGATCATTGGTTGGAAGTGAAAACAGGGAAGGTCTGTGACTGTTGGTTGACAGATCACTGTACCCAGGCCTTAGTCTAGCTCTGTGGCATGTTGCCGTCTGAATCATGTCTGAGTGTACAGAAAGCTACTGCTCTAGTTGTGTTTTTGTGGCTTAGCTCTCAGATAGCAGATGAGGTGGCAAATCTGTGTTTGCACTATAGGGTCAGGACTCACATGTCTGAAAGCTGTTCTATTGTCAAAAGCCTCAATTTTTGTGCATATTTCTTCCTCCACAAAAAAGTCTTGAAGTTATATACATAACGTCAGTATATAACTGTGAATATGACTCATGATACGGGAAGAATGTAATTTTGTAAATAACAAATTGTGCAAAGGATAAATAAAATTAATTTTTAAAAAAGTCTTGAAGTTGTGAGCAGTTGCCCACTGTATGTCCCATTACTAATAAACAGTTTCTGACTATTTCCAAGACAAAAGTGCTCTACATATGACCCCTCTGTTCATTCATTAATGCACACAGAGAGGGAACAGGTGCAAGCGTGCCGGCCCTGCATTGTTGTTGGCTCATTAGTATGGCACATACATATAGAAGACACAAATCACCTGTGCTCCCTCCCTGTTATTAGAGACTCTTCAGATGTTTCTCGTCACAGGTTGGGCACATATACTTCTTCATGACCATGCTCACAAGCTGGTGATCACATAGCGACAAGAGCTGGGGCCAGTATACTTATAGCTGCTCCCCTTTCCCATGTGTTGATGAATGCATATTCAGGGGTCATATGTAGAGGGCCATACATTACTTAGTCATACTAATTGTAGTTCAGGAAATGCCTCCTAGGCCCAGTCTATGGCCATTTGATCATTAATCAAGACCTCTCAGTGATTATTCAGTGTGCCTTTAGCCACATAAAGAACCTATCATGTTAGCATTCCACAAGAGGAGGCTTTCTCACATAAATTAGCTCAATTCTAAGTTAGCTCAGCCAGTAGAAGACTGCCCTCAAACATATACACACTTTACCTTACACCGTTTGGAAATAATCCCAAGAACCTCTACCACACACTCCTCTGCTTCAGGCATTAGGTTGCACACCTGGACATCCACCTTGCTCCTTCTCCTCTTTCCAGGCTTGAAAAGAGAAGATTTTTTTATTTTCTGGACCGAGATGCCTGTCCTGTAAATAAGACTAGAATTTTTCCCATCCTGAGCTTTTGCCAACTCCAAATTGCCTATGTTTGTGCAGCAGCAGAAATACTATTGGCACATGAAATGTGCCCCTGCTTCTCTTTCCTTTTTGGATTATTGAATGCCCAGCGGCTTAGATCCCTGCCTTAGGAATTGAAACTTGGCTTGGACCTGTATGGATAGGTAGCTGTAGCCAGTTCTGCCTTCTTGCTTTACCAGTAGGTGTTAGTCACCAGAGGCAGAGGTCAATTCTGGGGAATCGCCGGGGATCGCCGTTCCCCCGGGTGAGGTGCGGGGGGCGGGGCACACGACGAAGCCCTGCCCCTGCTTCCAGCCACCCCGCTTCCGGCCCTCATTCAGCCAGGAGGAGGCAGGAGAAGAGGGAGGGTAAGTTGCTTCCTTCCCGCCTCTCCCCACCCCTGCCTGGGGTCAGGGAGGGCCTTGGCGGGGCTTCCTCACACTCCCGCCAGCCTTGCAGGTCCACCGCCGGGCCCCTGATGGGGCTCGGCAGTGGAGCTGCAAGGCCGCCGGGACCGTTGGGGGCCGGGGGGCCTTTGCGGGGCTTCCTCACACTACTGCCAGCCTTGCAGGTCCACCGCCGGGCCTCTGATGGGGCTCGGCAGTGCAGCCACAAGGCCGGCGGTGGTGGCCGGGACCATTGGGGGCAGGGGGCTTGGCAGGGCTTCTCCGCACTTCTGCCGGCCTCGCAGCTCCACCGCTGAGCTCAACGGGGGTTCGGCGAGAGCTGAAACCAGGGCGCGGCCGCCAGAATTGTTGGGGGGAGGGAGTGAAAACAAAGTA